ATATTTGTCAGGTTCGGACCCGAACCTGGCAGAGTAAGTCACCACCTCCTCGGGGGACCACAATCCACCCGAATCTCAGGTATATGTATTGCCTCATCCTCGGGAGACTCATCTCCCGGAATCCGCTCCGTCGCTAACGGATACATTGGCGCGGTTCTAAAAACCGTGTGTTCCTCGTCACGCAATAGTACCGACCCCAATCGGCTATCCACGCAAGTCATCGGGATGCCCATAACCGTCCTGTCATTCGGACGTTGGCGCGATTATATCATCGCCACATTCACAATCATATCCCATACGGGTGGCATCCGACCCGGATCGGATGGCCCGTAGATGGGACGCAATCTCGCAAACATCCATCCGACCCGGATCGGATGGCCCGTAGATGGGACGCAATCTCGCAACCCTCGTATAATCATTCACAAGCGTCCGTTTCTACAATCACGCGCTAAACGTTAATCCGAACCCTTCCGAATTAACGCTAGTGCCATGCCATCTACCCCAGTCACATGCATTTATATAGTTTATTTACTATACATGCATTTCCGCTTGTGTAGTCTTTTATATTTCTTTATATATTTTCTTTCATTCTCTTCATCGAGTTTACCGAATTGTACCTCCGGTATGACTTAGCTGGTTCCGGTCCGCCCGGATAACCAGTTCGGTTCATTCTGTGGTTTCTAACCTTATCTGTTATTCATTTTGGGTCCAGACTACGTGGGGTCCGGTCTGGCCCGTAATTCCGGTATAATTTATATTTTTCACTTTTTCATAATTTTAACCAGGGTCATATTAGACCCGTCTTATCATATTTTTCAATTTTCCTCATGGTGAAATTTTTCAGTTCCGTTACTCTTTTTTTTTTCCAGACCGATCGGTCTAGTCCTAGACCGATCGGTTCAGAACGGACGTTCCGTCTCGTCCAGAACGGACGTTCTGGCAAGTCATTGCAGAACGGACGTTCTGGAGTCGTCTTCAACCTCCAGACTTCGCGTTTTCTTCTGCGGACCTAGAACGGACGGTCTGACCTCAGACCGGACGTTCTGGTCCTCGGATTTTCACCAAAACACACAAACATGCATGGTTCACTATGGGTATAACACTAAAACTCATAAAATTGCATACACAACACGAATCAAACATCAATTTCTCACAAAATCACTCAAAACCCAAAACCCCATGTCTAACAGACTTCCGAATTAAACTCGAATTCACTCACCTCGGTTAAGCCCGTGCTATGGGTGTTGAATGGAAAGCTTGGTGATGTTCCTCTTGCTCTGTAGGAACCGATTTGAGCGTCAATTGTTCGGATTTGAGAGAGAATTTTCGGTTGGGAATGAAGAACATGTGAGGGAGAGAGAAAATGGCGATTTAGTTCGGATTAGGCCAAATTATGACACGAATTCGGACCCAGGGCGGACTAAATCGTGCACAAAGTCAAAAAGTCGGGATTT